CCTGAAGGCTTCTTGTACTAAAGTTTGGGAGTGCTTGGGTTATTCTTTCTCCAGATGCCCACAAACCTGTCGTATTGTTTCCTGGAACCCAAACTGTTGAACTCAGGCCTATCCCTGTGATTTATTGACTAGGAGGTGCAAATGCCCCCCCCCCCAACTCCTAGGCTGTGTGCCTCAGTTGCCTCCTAGAACGGAAGGAAGGGGCTGCCTGGGGAAGCTAAGCCCCATAGCCTGCACCTCCACTCACTTCCCCGTCTAGCCTAGCTCCTTGTCTTGAGGACAGAGAATGTGGAGAGCTCGAGGTTTCTCCAGGGAGCCGGTGGGCTCTTTGTTAGTTACCATGGGGGAGATTTGGGAGTACTAAATGGGGGCAGGGGCCGGGGCAGAAGCTGAGAGGAAGCCAGAATGACAGTATGACTCATTCTAGGAATTGGCTGCAGCTCCTGGGAGGGAGTCAGAGACTGCCGGGTAATCCATTAACCATTTGCTGACTGCAGGAGTGAGGCCTCCACTATTGGGCGGGCTCTCTATTACCAGAGACAGAAGCACACAGGAAGCTTCTTGGAAAGGTCCTTGGCTCAGGATGCTGATGCAACTGGTGATTTGACACCAGGTGAATCCTTGAGGCTAGGGAAAGACAGGTGGGTTTCCTGCAGACTCTCAGTAGTGCCTCACTTGCTGTTTGTGAAACAAGGTTCCTAAGCAAGAGTGTTCTGTCTACCTATAATGCTTTGGCTTTCTACCGGCCTCCAGGCCAAGTTTACTGGTTCTTCCCCTACTGGTCTGGAGACTATTGATGTGGGTGCATTTTTTAAAAAGGTAAAAGGTCACTTTTACCTTACTTGGGAGGGGGGTGAGAGGGCTCTTGCTATACAGCCCAGGCTGGCCTTCAACTCATGATCCTCCAGACTCAGTCTCCACCTGCTAAGATTACAGGCATATGCAAACGTGTTTGCCTTCAGAGGCTCCCCTTTAACCTCAAGTGGACCCTTCTGGAGGAATTGAACTGTGGTAGAGGCGCCCTTACATGCCCAGAAGGTCTGCATTCTTCCATTTGGTTTAGGACGTATTGGCTTGATTTATGGCTAAATTAGACCTACAGAAGGCTTGCCAGTGACCTTAGGAACTTAGGAGGGAGTAAGGGCACCACGATTCTGTGAATGGGAGAAGATACAGTTGTAGTTTTGCCTAGAGTTAATGGGGAAGGGAAAAAGTCAGTTTGGGAGTCGTCATAGAAATTAATGAAATTTTGCATATTCACACCTTTGTTTTTAGATAAACAAGAGGAAAAAATGCTTTTTGTTGTTGTTTTGCTTCCTGGGGGGATATGGTTGGTATTTGCCAGATGCCAGATAAGTTGCTTCTGATAGACACAGAAAGTTAATCATTGCCTCTCTGTGAGAGACCTTTAAAAACTTGATTTATTTTTTTGTGTATGTGTGAGTGTATGTGCACCGTGTGTGTACAGGAACCAAGGAGGTCAGAATAAGGTGTTAGACTCTTCCTTGGAACTTGAATTACAGCTGTTGTGAGATGCCATGTGGGTGCTGCCAACTGAACCCCAGCCCTGTAAGAGCAACAGGTGCTCTTAACTGCTGAGCTTTCCATCTCTCTAGCTCCAAAGGACAGACCTTTAGAAGTGTGTGTGTAAGGTGGAGGTGGTGTGTGTGAGTGAATTCCATTATTTTTTATTCTAAAACTGGTGGTTTGGGTCAGTTTTCTTAAAATTGCATTTATTTACCGATGCTTTTATTGAGCATGCATGAGCTATAGTTCGCATAGAGGCCGGAGAACAGCACGCAGGAATTGATTCTCCCTCTCGTTCTCGGTTCTCGGGTGGAATCAGGTCTTCGGGTTTTGGTGGCAGGTGGCTTGAGTAGGCACTGAGCCTGCTCACTTGCTCTTGTTAGTTTTTTAATACCCTCCGAAGTTGCATCACCTTAGCAGCTTTGTTGTTTTAGCTCTCACACAGTCAGGGTGGATATTTTTTGTCAGTCCAAGAACCCCATGCCTTTGCCTGCCTCACTTTTGTTTGTTCATTTGCTTTTTTGAAGGGGGGTATGAGACCTTCTACTCGCAATATCCTGAGTGCTGTGTGGATGTGAAGCCTGTTCCACAGGAGAAGATTGAAAGTGAGAGAGGCATCCTCAGCCAGTGTGGAAAGCCGGTTCTTAGTGTCACCTGCAGACCAGCTTACGACCAGGTATGTGGTTCCGGCTCCTGTCCCCACCGTCCTCAGCACCCTGACTGGGGCTGTTGCTTTGTAATATGGGAACTGACACTGTCCTTGAGAGCTGCTGTGGCTTGCCCACGGGGATTTCCGTGGAGAGTAAGTGGGCCATCTCCCAGCACACACACCTAACTAGGGTCCCTGGACCACGGGATGCTGGGCAGCCTCTGTAGAGAAGAGAAGCTGCTGGCCTGGGCAGTTCTGGGAAGCCTGAAAATGCCTTTTCCCTGGAGCTCACTTTCAGGCTTTCTGTGTTGTTTGCTTTGTTTTGTGTGTATGAGTGTTTTGCCTGCATGTATGTGTGTGCATTCCGTGCGTGCCTGCAGAGGGTTATGAGTTACAGCCATGTGCTGGGAATCAAACCTAGGTCCTCTGCAAGAATGGACGCAATGCTTTCAGCTGCTGAGCTATCTCTCCAGGCCCATTCTGTTTTGTTTCTTGGGATAGGCTTGTCATGTAGCCCCGGGTAGCCTGGACTTAAGATCCTCCTCCCTGAACCTCCCCCAAGGCTGGGGTTGTAGGCTTGTGCCCCCATCCTTGGCTGTCTCCTGAAGGTTTCTGGTACATATTTTCAAAGATTCTAGTACCAGAGGAAATGGAGATACTAGAAGGCTAGATGTTTCTGTAAGCATGTGGGGTTTTTGTTTTGTTTGTTTTTCCTAAAAAAAAAAAAAAAAAAAAAAAAAAAAAAAAAAAAAAAAGTATGCTTTGTATAACTCACTGACAATTAGGAGGCTGGGTACCTATAAAATGATGGAGGAGGGTGCGGAAAAAGCAGTCCAGGCCTGACAGAAACCAGAGTTCAGACCCTGCCTTGCCATCTCACAGGGGGCAAGGTACTTATCATTGGCCAGTGGGATATCTTGACAGTGTCAGGCCAGTTTACGAGACTCCAGCCACTGGTCCACGGTAGCCTCAGGCCTAGGTGGCTGCTCTTCAATTCCATGTTCTGGTTCCTCCCAGGACCTTCTGTTTTTCCATCTGCCCTTTGACCTACACATCCGGCTTGCAAGGAGTTTTTCAGTCTTTCCCTCAAAACAAAGAGCATAGCAAAGCCTAATAATGAGCCTTCTAGACATGGCTAAAAATGCCAACTCCCTGCCATGGGCAAAACTCAGCACCTGGAGACAGAGTTCTAAATACAAACAGGTGTCCTTGCTTCTAATGGGATTCTTGGTCACTGGAATCCTCTTAGCCTGGCCAGATGCCAAAGGCATCGGTTTTGTTTGTTTGCTTTCAAGAAAAATGAGCCTGTGGGACGAGCCGGAAGCCACAGCGTGTGTCTAAGCTGGATGCCTATGTGTTTGTGAACTGGGGTTGTGTTCTGCCTCTTTCTCAGAAAATGAAAGAGAAGTAGGTTGTGAAAGCTCTGGCCCTTTTGCCCACTGAGGGTAGGGTGCTCAGATGTCCTCACCACTCACCCGGGGAACCCCTGGTACACAGAGAGGGCAGGCGAAGCTATCTTAGCCTCTTTGTATTCTGACAGCTTTGGTGTCTTCTTGAGGTGAGCAGAAGATTTAGGAAAGGAGAGAAATAGAATTTTAGGGGTGTGATGGACTGAGCTGCAGGAGAAGTTGGATGTTATCCCGGGCTGTTGTATCAGCATTTTCCAGTCACTCAGCAGTTTTAGGCAGTGACCAGCCTGCTGCTCTGAGGGGTTGGCTAATGATGCCATGGGGCATGGGGCTGGGATGGGGCTATAGCTGACCATAGAATGGAATTAGATTTGAGTCTTTGACCTCTTTCCCAAGAAGGGTCTACCATCTCTACCATTTTTATAGTTTCTAGCCAGTGGGGAGCTTGGGCTGGGCTGGGTGCAGGGGACGGGACAGTCTGCCCTGAGGCCAAGACCAGACCTGTTGGGATTGCTGGGCCTCAGTATCTGCCCTGTGTCTTCCAGGGAGAGAAGGTGGATGCTATTTATTCATTTTTCAGCTGGATGAAGATGGCAGCCACATAATGTACAAGTTAATAATGCAGCCATTATTCCTTTATGTCTTACCAATTATCCCAGAGGGTAGAAATTCCACGGTTTTCCTTCTGGGTTAGAGAAGCTGCCTGAGCTTCGATCAGTGAGAAGCTACAGGTCTTCTCTCAGATGCTCAGTCCGTGTTCCTAACCTCTGCACCACACTGCCTCTGGAAGGCTGCCTGTCCTGTGTGGAGGAGAGGGGGAGGGGTGCAAGTGGACTCATTACTAGGGGATTTCTAGAGAAATGCAAGAGAGAAGGGAAATATTTCCTTCCCATTTTTACCTGAAATCCTTGAAATCTAAGCCAGATACGCACCCACAGTAGCAGCACTGTCAGGATAAGGCAAAAGGATTACCGCAAGTTCAAAGACAGCCTGAGCTACACAGCAAATTCCATCCAGGCCAGCCTGGCACATACAGAGACCATGTGTCTGGAAGGAGTAAAACATGAATGACCCTGTTCTCCCATACTGAGCTGTAAACAGACTCAGGGAAGCCCTGCCACCCAAGCCAAGTCAGTCCGAGTTAGTTCTCCGTCCCTGCTCTACTTCTGGCATTATTTAATCACATATGCGCCTCAAGAACCCGATGTGAAATGGCCTTCTTACCTATCTTACAGATCTCTTTTAAGATTAGTACCTATATCTCAAGCCCCTGAAACTGTAGGTGCTAGTAAAAATGCTGGTTGTAGATTATGTACCTCAGTTAGTAGAATGCTTGCCTACCACACGGTGAGCCCCTGGGTTCAGTCTCTAGAACCATATAGACTTGGGCATGGAAGCACATGCCTTTAATGCCAGCATTAGGGAGACAGGCAGGAATATCAAACCTACATGCTGTGCCCAGCTCAGCTATGAATAGTTTGAGGCCAGCCTGAGCTATATGAGACCCCGTGTCAAAAAGTGTGTGTGTGTGTGTGTGTGTGTGTGTGTGTGTGTGTGTGTGTGTGTCCATGATTGGCTTTTTCGTAAACCCCTGAAGTGCTGGGTGGGTTGAGACAAGCCTGCTGCTGATCCCCACCTCTTGGTCCCTTACCATTTTTCTTCCTGTGGGTCTAGCTAAGAATTTCCATTCCACCCTCTTTCTGGGGCAGGAAACGGGGGACTCCAACAGTCACTGGCCTTTGCTTGGCACCTTAGAACCCTGTAAATGTGCGGATTACTGAGTCTGTCTAGCCTAGAGCTATGTTTCACCTAGGGGGTGGACGGTCTTTGACTCTGCCTTTGTAGGGAGGTTCTGAACTAGAAGCCTGAGATATGGGTGATGACCTCAGTCTCTCTAACTCCTACGCCCCGTGTGAAGGTCGAGGTGGGGAAGCCCCTCTGCTTGTGGTTTAACAGCTTTCTGAGTCTAGCTTCTCTGGGTAGGTAGGATATTTTTGATTCTAGGAAACTTACTTTTTGGAGAAGGGGGGTGAGGAGATGGCACCTTTACTATCCCTAAAATGTAGATCACCAGTGTATTAGGGTTTATGCAGTACTTGATATAAAATGCTGTAAAGGAGACTTTGTCAAACCGTTTTCCATGATAGCTGTGGGTTAGGAAGCCGCCCCTCAGGGAACCCCAGCTTTCCTTGGTTGTCTTGGGGGAGTTTGAGCTTTAACAAGGGCCCTTTCAGTTCCGACCACTTCCCACCCTGGGACTTCTGTGACTTCCAGCTGAAACTCTGGTCCCTGTGAGTTTTGCTGTCACTGAGTCACAAGGGTAGAGATTTTGCCAGGATGGTGGTGCCACCCACTCTTGGCTGACTTGCCCTGGCTCTGAACTCTCTACCTGGGAACCAGAAAGGGAACCTCCCACCCTAAGAAACAAATAGGTCAGGGTTGTTGCTTTTCTTCTCCCACATGAGCAAGCTAATGCAGTATTTCCTGGTTGTCCTTTGTCCCTGCTTCTAGGGTGGCCCAGTTGAAATCCTTCCCTTCCTCTACCTTGGAAGTGCCTACCATGCATCCAAGTGCGAGTTCCTCGCCAACCTGCACATCACAGCCCTGCTGAATGTTTCTCGCCGGACCTCTGAGGCTTGTGCCACCCACCTACACTACAAGTGGATCCCCGTGGAGGACAGCCACACAGCTGACATTAGCTCCCACTTTCAAGAAGCAATTGATTTTATTGGTAGGTCCAGCCACCCCCTCTCCATTGTTAGGGGAAATTCCTTGGAGTGGAATATGTATTATTATCTTTTGATATCTTGGTATGGTTACCTTCTTAAAAAGAAAGAAGTCTGTAGCCCTGGGTGGCCTCAAATTTGCTATGCGCTCAAAAGTGACTTTGAACCCCTGATCATCTTCCACCCCCGGACGGGGCCCCCCCCCCCCCCCCTGCTATGCCCAGCTTGAGCAGAGTGTCTTGTGTGTGCAGCCCGAAGAGTTGGGGCCAAGAACAGGAGTTTTGGCCATCAAAAAGGCAACGGGAGGACTGAGTTGCTATTATTAGAAGTTTTGGTTTTACGAGATGAATGAATTAATATCGTTTTATGGCAGTACTTTCCTGCTCTTGTTATTGTTTCAACCGGTTGGGAGCAGAGTTCGTCCATGTGTAATGTTCCGAGGGAGGAAAGCAGGGGGGAGCCTCCTTCTACGTAGGTTAGGCTATTTTTAAAGCAAACAGAAGGATGGAGGGAGCACTCCTTACGCACTAAGCCGTGAGGGCCCCCGGCAGCTCCAAGCAGTTCTGGCAAACGGCTTTGGAGGCAATTTATTTTCATTTTCAGCTAACTCTGGATTAAAGATAGCACTTGCCTCAAGCCCCGTGTCTTATGCACAGAAAATTTGGCAACTTATGCATCCCTGTATCCTTGTGAAGCAGTTGTCGTCTTTCCATTGTACAGGCCTGGGGACTGAAGCCTTGGCCTCAGAGCTCTCTGCCGTGTTGCCTCAGTTGCCCTCACATCCCAGATACATCCCATCACCCCATTTAGCCTGACTTCTCTGTCTCAAATGTACACTCTTGATCCTGGCCCCCTTTTCTCTTCCTTCTTTCTCTCTAACATGCGTACTTGTTGGGATGGAGACATCGTCTTGTTAAAGGCAGGGTTAGACACAAGGGTAATTACTTAGCACAGGCAGCAATTAAAGGCCCTTCAGCCATGTGGAAGGGCCTGCTCACCACACACGACGTCACAAGAAATCTTGACAAACTCACCAGAGGCACACACAGAGGCTTTCCTTGTCACCAGTCTCTAGGCTGAGAATCCTCTTGCAGCCTGAGAAGCAGCCACGATGGTGGATTCTAGGTGGGAACTCTTGGCTTTTCTTCATGCCCTTAGGAGGGCTCTGCCCTTCTCAGCCTGTTACTTAATTACCTGAGTAACTGCCGAGTGAGGTCATGCAACCTGCCCCCGTCCAGTTCTGAGAACCCTCCCTCCACATCCTGTGTGCATGTTGTGTCTGTTTGTGGACACAGTCCCACAATGTTTCAAAAGCTCCTGATGTTTTTTAACCCCAACGCATGCCCTGCCAATGGAAGGAGGAGCTGAGCTTCCCCAGTGGCCTTCCCAAGGGAGGAGGATGATGTGGGTGGCTAGAAGCAGAGGTTTGGAAAGAGTTCTGGAAACAATGCACCCCATATCCTTTCGGTTCTGGAATGTGGCAGTGGACGGAGCGAGGGGAAACAAGCCCCATAATCCCCAGGACTGGGGGTCTCTCTGCTGTGAGCTGACTTACAGGGCTCTTTATTACTCCTTTTGGATTGATGGGTTGCATGCGGTACCTCCAGTGGGCTCCTCTGGCATGCTCTGGAGTTGTTGTTCTTACTGGAAATTTCAAAGGTTCCTCTCTGATCTCTTAGAAATTTGATCTTTTAGGTATAGAGTTGTTTTCAGGCTTCTTGAACTTTAAGCACATGGTGGAGGGTGGGAAGAGGGCAACATATTCCTTTCATCTTTTTTTTATTTTTTTCTGAGACAGGGTTTCTCTGTCTAATAGTCCTGGCTGTCCTGGAACTCGCTTTGTAGACCAGTGTGGCCTCGAACTCTCTGAGATCCACCTGCCAAGTGCTGGGATTTAAAAGCATGCACTGGCCGGGCGGTGGTGGCGCATGCCTTTAATCCCAGCACTCGGGAGGCAGAGGCAGGTGGATCTCTGTGAGTTCAAGACCAGCCTGGTCTACAAGAGCTAGTTCCAGGACAGCCTCCAAAGCCACAGAGAAACCCTGTCTCAAAAAACCAAAAACAAAACAAAACAAAAAAAAAGCATGCACCACCACAGACTGGCTTTTTTGTTTGTTTGTTTGTTTGTTTGTTTTTTATTTAATACTATGGTCTTATATAGTACCAGTTATAGCTACATCTAACTTCTTGTGAGGTAATTACTTCCACTCTATCAAGAGAGGAATTGGGAGACTTTTTGTGTGATTTTGATTTGATATGTATTCACCTATAGCCTTTCCTATTTTTAACAGTTATTTTTCTGGGAAGAGTAGAGCAGGAACAGAAGGACCCTTCACACACACACACACACACACATACACCATAGTAAGCAAAAGAATGCTAACTGATGGTGGTGACTTTATAGCAGTGACTCCCATTGTTGAGCAAGATGGAGTTTGCAAAAGTCATTTATATCCTCCATCTAGTAAGCGTCACTTAGCCACGACTATAATTAGTGGCCGGGTGCTGTTTGTTGTATGTTTGATGGTGAGAACCCTGGAAGCTTACCAAGCATCCCTCCCTGTCACAGCAACACAGGGTTGCTCAGGGAATCCAACAGACCCCTTCCAGGTTGCTGCCTGTTGTCACCATTGGATCAGAACCAGAGACTTAATGTTTTTCCAGGTCCGTCTTTGAGCCTTAGACACTCGGGGCATTACATAGACCCAATAAAGACCGAGAGCACAGGTTCAGAGCTGTCTCTGCAGAGGACATTTCCAGGTCTAGCACGTGTCCTGGGAAACAGAACAAAGGTCCTACATGTGGGGACATCCGTCATTGGGATTTCAAGCCCCTTATAAGTCTGATTTCGTAGCTCGAGCTTGCCTTGAACTTGTGGCCCTCGCATCCATCTCTCAGATGTTGGGAGTATGGACTGTAGGTATGTGTCATCTTGAGGACCATGGCCCTTGAACTTGCACAGTGGAGGCACTAGGTCACACAGGTTGTCCTGTGTGTGTCCTGCATTTGGTATTTCCTTTAGATTCTAGTTCTGACCTACTGCCTTTCTTTCTTCATTCCAGACTGCGTCAGGGAAGGAGGAGGCAAGGTCCTAGTCCACTGTGAGGCTGGGGTCTCGAGGTCACCCACCATCTGCATGGCGTACCTCATGAAGACCAAGCAGTTCCGCCTGAAGGAGGCCTTCGACTACGTCAAGCAGAGGAGGAGCGTGATCTCTCCCAACTTTGGCTTTATGGGACAGCTTCTTCAGTATGAGTCTGAGATCCTACCTTCCACACCCACCCCCCAGCCTCCCTCCTGCCAAGGGGAGGCAGCCAGCCCCACGTTTACAGACCATTTACAGACACTGAGCCCTGACACGCAGGCTCCCTACTGCACGTTCACTACCTCAGTGCTGGCGCCAGTGCCCACCCGCCCCACAGTCGCAGAGTTCCACAGGAGCCCTGTGGCCACAGCCACGTCCTGCTGAGGCTGGGATTGGCTACCAGTGAATCCCCAAGAGCAACTGTGATTTTTGTTATTTTTAAACTTGTGGACATTTCAGACCTGTGCAATACTGAAGACCTCTCTCTGTCCCGCTGCCCCAGTGAGGTGGTGACGGTCACCAGGCTCGCAGGCGCACTTGAGACTGACCCCGAGGATGGCTTCTCGGGACTGTAGGAAGGCCAAGCCATGACCAGCACAGCAGTGCTGACTACTGTACTTTAGAGCCCCATCCTCTCAGGGGCGCCTAGTCTTTGCTCCTCAGAAGCTCGCCTTGTCACTTCACGCTTAAAGGCAATAAACACCCACAAAAGTGGGAGCGAGCCCAGGAGAGAAGGCTGTAACGAAGCCAATTCATTTCGAAGGAAGCACAATTTTTACTCTGTCTTTTTTGAACTTTGGCAAACTTTGTCTCTGTCACTTCAGGGAATAAGGTGGTCACCACCCAGTCAGAGAAGTTAACTCTGCTAGATTTGTCCAGACAGAAGTTCCTGCCAATCTGAACCCAGAAGTGTTTTTTGAGATTATCTTGGGTCCCATGCAAGGTGTTGGCTGAAGAAGATGCTGAACTGTCAGGGTTGGTTTCTCACCTAGAGTTCTTCTGTGACCTTGGACTCCCGGCATGGTTTTTACACGTACTTGAACCTGCCCAGCCTATCTTTTTAAGCAACTTTGGTGTCATTCAAAAAGTGTTTTCGGACCCTAGACCAAAAGTCACCACTTTGAGGAGGTGGCAGTGGGCACCCAGAGGAAGGAGGCGTGCACTGTGACCTGGGTCAGTGGCAGTTTCAGTACTCACTCAGCTTAGTGTCCTTCTGTGTGTGTGTGTGTGTGTGTGTGCTGTCCATTGTGACACTGTTTCCCTCCCTGCCCCTGGAGGGTTGTCTTCAAGCTACTGATGCTGGGGTCTGCATCCTCTGCAACGTGGTACTACTTAGGTTCTTTGATAGGTTGTTTCTCCAGGGGAAAGGCAATAAGTCCCCCAAACCCATGTGAATGTGAAGAAAAGTGGTATGTTGCTGGTTGTTGTTTTTTACATAGTGTAAAATAAAAATAACATAAAATAAAAATGCTTGTTCTTGTTAGTGGTGGCTCAGACTAGGAAGAAATACTTTTGGGTGGGGACTTAAGCCTGCCTTACTGTTTTGTGTGTGTATTTACTTATAAATTTTTGCTTCCTATGTTTGGCTGCTTTGCCTGTGCACACCACATACACACACACAGAGGCCAGAAGAGGACATCACATTCCCTGGAAATGGAGTTACAGATAGTTGTGGCCTGCCTTGTGTGGTGATGGAGCTCAAGCACGGGAGCAGCAGCCAGGGTGCTTCTAATTGTTGAGCATCTCTCTAGCTCCATTTTATTTCCAAATGAACGGTGGGTGGGCCTGGTAGATAATTTGCTCTTGAGTCTGTGATTTTAACAAGGACAGAATGTTGCTAGAAAAGTCCTGCAAGTAGCCAGACCAGACCTCCGCCTTGGCTCTCGCCTTAACAGCCTGGTATGACTTTTGGTTCCTCATCCCTGAAGTGGACAGAAAGGAGGTAGATGCTCTGCAAAGTTCCTGGAAATTTCCTTCTAGAAAATCCAAATGCCAGGCTGTTCCAGCCTCCCTCTGCCCTGACTGGCTACAGATAATTGAGGGACAAAGGTTCCCTGCCTGAATGGCTGCCCCGCTCCTTTTACCCTTGTAATGGATTCTTCCAGATAACTGGCTCCGGAGTTCCTAGGTGAGTGGGTTTCAATCCAAGTGAAGCTCAACTTGCCTTCTGAGTAATTTCCTGTGCGTCAGTGAAGGAAGGAAGAGGTAGGATCAACTGCTTGATTGGCACAGACTAAGTTCCAGACCACAAGGGCCATGGTCCCTAACCCGTGGCAACAGGAAAACGACTGGGTGTTAAGCCCTCCCACTCAGCCGATGCTTCCAGCAAACCTCTCTCTCCAGAAGGGCCCAAAGAGATCTCTAGCTACCGGGTGTGCACTTTGCTGGCTGAGTGGCCCAGTTTTCTCAAAACAAACACCCTAAGGCTGCATGGGACCTCGTTTGTTCCCTTCCTTTCCTTTCCCCAAACCAAGCTCCATGGGCTCCTCGGGAAGCCCACAGATGGGAATGCTGCACAGACCAAGAAGACCTGGTCTCTTTCACTCAGCCCCTTATCACATCCAAGTAAGTCTTCCTCTGTGTAGAGCAATGGACAAGGAGGAAGATATCCTCACCTCCCCCTAACTCGTGCTTCCAAGCTAATCTGCAGACAGACTTTGGGGCTTGGCTTGCCTGGTTCATGACACCCTCCAAGTCCCATATCCCTTAAGCCTCAACTTAGGCCTGGGGTGTTATCTGGAAACTTACTGTGCAGGTTTGCCCAGGTGCCGAGTGGCTGGAGGACCTTGTAGGGAGAGCTGGGGAGTGGGAAGCCAGCTGCAGGCTGAACTACTGTGCCCAGCCACATCCCACTCGATGTCATTTGCTTTATTGCATTAAAGTCTGTCTCTAAAGGGTGAGTAAGTCCTCTAAATCAGGCATCTGAGGATTGCTCATAAGTGAGTCATGGTGGGCATGGGGCAGGCCAAGTGAAGCCCCACAGCTGGGAAAGGCTCTGGGACTATCACTCCACTTGCTCATCTCCCTGGTTGTCACACCTGTGTTGGATCAACTTCACACTGGTGTCCAGCAGCAGATGGAGAATCCCAGCTAGCGTTATTGTCTCCACTGTTTCATGTGAAGATGCATTGAGTCTGAGACAATAGGATGTTAATTTCCCAACTGCATGTATGCACGAACCCTTCTGGTTCACCCTAATGTCTGAGCTGGGCCTGGCGGGAGGGAGGGTAGGGTCCCACAAGTACTTAGGGAGTGTCAGGAGCCCTGTGCACCCAAGGCAAAGACCCTAAGAAAATGTCACCCCCAACTTCAAAAGCCAGAACAGCGGTATCTCTCTGAACTGGTGATTTATCTTCTGAATATCCGGAAACTCATGACTGCCTGTCTGTCTGCTAGGGCTATGTGGAAGTTCAGAACTAAACTTTTGACCTGCAGAAGCTGATGGCAGCTTTGCTATCAATTTAGTCTTTTATTTTAGTTTTGTGACAGGATCTGCTATGTAGCCCAGACTGGCCTCAGGCTCAGTCTACCTGCCTGGATTTTCTGAGTGTGGAGCACACCACCATGCCCAGTGCAGAGATTGGGGAGCATACTACCATGCCTAGCATAGAGAATGTATTCTTTTTAACTACTCAACCTCATTTCCATAAATAATCCCAAATTTCTTTTTCTTTTACTTCCATTTTCTCAGAGACTTAAAGCAACCACAAATCCCTTGAACCTCATTGAAAGTCTACATGTACTGTTTATGGCATAAGGTATGGAATACATACCTAAGTGGCCTGTGTGTTGCTTTTTGTCGTTTGAACCTGAAATGTTCCCGCTGACAGGCTCATGTTTCAAATGCATATCCCCAAGACAGCGGATATATTTCAGGAGACTGTGGGGCCTTAGGAGATTGGGTCTAATTGTCTGAAATAGATCCCTAGGGGCAGACTCTTGGCTGCATGGCCTGGGGGTCCTGTTCTCTACTTCCTGGTCCTCCCTATTTCCTCCCAAGAGCTAGGTTGATGCACCATGCCCGTCTTGATGCACTGAAGTCACGAAGCAAAGTAAATCTTCCTCCCTTAAGGTCTGTTAGGTATCGCGGTTTCAGAGTGCAGAAATAACTCATTTGTCTGCCGTCTCTCTCCCAAGAATTCCTTGATGAGACTGGCTTCCTTGGTGACTTGGCCAAGATCTCTAGAGTGGGATCAAAATAATGTAAATATATTATCTAGAAGGCACTTATTAGATGATAAGGGTGGAGTAGTCCAATTGTGGCTCTCTTAGGGTTTCTATTGCTGGGATGAAACACCTTGACGCAAAGCTACTCTGTAGCCTATCACTGAAAAGTCAGGACAGAAACTCAGCAGGGCAGGAACCTAGTGGCAGGAACCAATGCAGAGGCTATGGAGGAGTGCTGCTTACTGGCTTGCTCATCATAGCTTGCTCAGCCTGCTTTCTTATAGAACCCAGGAACACCAGCCCATGGGTGGCCCCACTCACAACAAGCTGGACCCTCACCCACCAATCACTAATTTTAAAAATGCCTTACAGTAGGATCTAATGGAAGTGTTTTGTCAATTGAGGTTCCCACACACACACACCCTTTCAGATAACTCTGGGTTGTGTTGATACAAAGCTAGCCAACACAGGGGCCAGTTTAGGGATAGATTTTATATGGACATTTTTGGGGGGTTTTCTTATGAGATATGGAAGTATGAGCCATTTAATTGAACATCATAGAAGTCAAGTTGCTCACCGCTTCTAGCTGGACCTGACCTATCGAGAGCGCCTGCTCCTTGGATCCAAGTAGACAGGGCTCTGAACTGAAAGAAACCTATTGGTTCCAACCTATAGGACTCAAAAGCAGCCCACCCATAGGCTGGTAAGAGACCAAAGAGTGGTGTGGTACCATGGGTTCTGATTAATGAGATAGCAGTAATTATTTGAGTTTTGTCTCTGTCAGTTACCAGCTGTGTGGAGATGGACTAATTATTTCATTTCTCTAAGTCCAAAAGGGTTTTTGGTTTTGGTATTGGTATTTTTATTGGCTTTTTGTTTTATTGTTTTTGTTTTTGAGACAGGGTTTCTCTTTTTAGCCCTAGCTGTCCTGGAACATGCCCTATGACTAGACTGGCCTTGAACTCAGAGATCCACCTGCCTCTGCCTTCCAAGTGCTGAGATTAAATGTGTGTGCCACTGTCTGGCCAATGGATTGGTTTTATTGTTGCTGCTGTTGTTGTTTTTAGGCACAGTCTCACAATGTATCCCTGGCTGGTCTGGAACTCACTATATAGACACTATGCAGACTTCACAGAGATCTGTCTGTCTTGCTTGGTGATGCTCAGATTAAAGGATTATGTCATCAATCCTAGCTGTGGATTGCTTTTTAAATACTGGCCAAATCTTGGCAAAGCAGTGGTGGCACATGCCTTTAATCCCAGCACGCAGGAGGCAGAGGCAGGTGGATATCTGTGAATTCAAGGCCAGCCTAGTTACAGAGTGAATTTTCAGGACAGTAAGAGCAGTTACACAGAGAAACCCTGTTTTGAAAAAACTAAAATTAAATAAATAAATAAATAAATAAATAAATAAATAAATAAATTTTGATCGAATCTTATTTCTGGGGGAAACTCCACTGTGTTGTATTTTTTAAAACACATTTCTGACATCAATTTGCTAATATTTTGTTAGAGATTTTGTAGTTATGAAGGATATTAATCTGTAATCTTTTCTAGAGATGCATTTGTCTTGCCTTAGTATCAGAAATGATGCTTCCCTCATTAAATTCTTAGGGAGGGGTTGGTGAGATGGCTCATCAGGTAAAGGTACCTACTGCCCAAGCCTGATGCCTGAGTTTGATCCCCAGCCCCACTGGGTGGAAGGAGAGAACAGACTCCTGCAAATTGTTCTCTGACTTACATATGAGCCTGCCACATACACTAAAATAAACGTAATTTATTTGTACTGTTTTGCATGTGTGTGCATGTGTGTGCAGTGAACACAGCAGGTGTCCACAGAGGCCGGAGGTTTCAGTCTCCCTGGAGCTGGAGTTACAGGTAGGTGCTTGTGAGCCACTGGGTGCTCATGCTGGAAATCAAACTTGGGTTCTCTGGAAGAGTATATCACATGCTCTCCATTCCAAATAGATGTAATTTTAATCTTTAAATAAGTAAAATAACTAGAGAGAATGTTTCCTTGTCCAGCTTCTACAAACAATTGAGTAATTACTACTTCTTTTTGTTGTTGTTGTTTCTTTTTTTCCCGAGACAGGGTTTCTCTGTGCCTTTGAAGGCTGTCCTGGAACTAGCTCTTGTAGACCAGGCTGGTCCCGAACTCACAGAGATGCACCTGCCTCTGCCTCCCGAGTGCTGGGATTAAAGGCGTGCGCCACCAACGCCAGGCTATTGTTTCTTCTTTACGGCCTCCCGAGTGCTGGGATTAAAGGCGTGCGCCACCAACGCCCGGCTATTGTTTCTTCTTTACAGGTCTAGTAGACCAGCGTCTATAAACAATTGCACAGTTGCTATTGTTTCTTCTTTAAATGTCTGGTAGAATTTGCCAGGCAGTCATTTGGGCCTGACATTGTTTATGAGGTTTGTTAGACACGATAACATTTCTTCAGTAGCAGGAGAGCCGTCCCAGTGACTTAGTTGTTGCTGAGTGAGCATTAGTAGATTGGTGTTTTTCAACTAATTTGTTCATTTCACCGAAGCCATTGGAATAGTTTTGGGCTTTTTGGAGGTTGCCTTTGTTCTTAAGAGTTGCTGTGGTTTTTATCTTCTTGAGACAAGATGTTGTGCAGGACTGTCCTTTGAACCCACCAACTGCAGTCTTGGGGCATTCAGCCGAATGCAATTACAAAAAGTCATCCCAATTGGGTTTATTGACTGTTCAGAGCCCTTTACCGGGTGAGTGCATCCAGTCACTTCCTACGACCTGTGTGTGCTCGTGCCTGGGGGAGGAGTAGAGTATGTACTCTAGGAAGACAAGGGTGCAGGAGCTCCACCTCTGACAGCTGGGTGAAGACTTTCTGATGCAGCCTTCGGTGGAGGGAGCAGACACACCCAGGAGGTGAGGCCTCACCTATGCTCTGGAAGAAAGCGCAATAAACTCGTCTGATTCTCTAGATTGAACTCAGGTGGAATTGCACTCCAGTGTGTAGTTGGGGCCTGGGGAGGAGATGTTACTTATATCTCCCTCTGAGAAGGAATTTTAGCAACATACGATTGCATGTAGCCCTGACTGGTCTTGAACTCATTTATGTAGCTGAGGCTGGCCTTGAATTTACGATAATCCAGAGTGCTGAGGTTATAGACCTGTACTGCTGTGCCTGGCTTGATTAATTTTTTTTAATTTTGTAATAGATAGATAGTGTGTGTTTATGAATGTATGTGTGTATGTGTGTGTATGTATGTGTGTGTGT